AAATATCATCAAGAACTCATAGTGAACCATAGTAGGCCCTGAAAGTCGTGTTTGGAATATATGAAGCCCGGATCTTTAGTTGATGGTACCCCGATCTCAAATCAATATTTGAGAATACCGTAGCACCCTGAAGCTGATCAAATAAATCATCAATACGTGATAATAGGTACTTGTTCTTGATAGTCTCCTTGTTCAGCTGCCTGTAGTAAATACACATCCTTATAAAACCGTCTTTCTTCTTCACAAATAAAACTGGAGCACCCTCAGGTGAAACATTCAGCCTAATGAAACCCTTATCAAGCATCTCCTGAGGCTGCTCTTTTAATTCCTTTAACTCCACTGGTGCCATAAGATATGGTGGAATAGAGATGGGTTGAGTGCCCCACACCAAATCAATACCAAAATTAATATCCTTATTGTGTGGCATGCCTGGTAGGTCTACTGGAAACACATTTGGAAACTCTTTCACTACCAAAACTAACTCAATGGTAGGAGTATCAGCATTAACATTCCTCACAAAGGCTAAGTATTCAAGCACCCCTTCTCAACCATCCGTTGTGCCTTCAGAAAAGACACCACCCTACTAGGAACGCGACACAATGAACCTGTTCACTCCATCCTCGACAATCCCAGCATAGCCAACGTCGTTGTATTATCGTGACAATCAAGAAAAGCAAGATATGGTGACAACCAATCCATGCCCAATATCACATCAAAATCTATCATATTGAGTAACAAAAGGTCAATCCTAGCATCATATTCCCCGATAGTGACCAAATAAAGAACGATAGACACGGTCTACCATGATAGAATCCCCAATATGCATAGACACATCAATATAGGTACTCAAATAATCATGAGACATAGCCAAATATGAAGCAAAATAGGATGACACATACGAATAAGTGGAACCTGGTTAAAATAAAACTGATGCATCCGTTTGACAGACCAGAATAATATCTGTGATGACAGTATCTGATGCAACAGCCTCAGTCCTACCAAGGAAAGCATAGTAACAGGCATGGCCTCCCCTCCTAGAACATCTTCTACCCGCCTGTCCTCTACCCCTAGATGGTTGTGTAGGTGGAGGAGCAACTAGAGCATAAACCATAGCCTGAGTACCATGCGGAGGTCCACCCCGCATTTGCGGAAACCCATGCTTCCGCTCAACTTCGCTCCTGCGCTCACCTGCCAGCACCTGCACGCTCGTAGATACGGAAAACCCTCACACTTGCGCTCCTCCCCAACTCAAACCAATCCCGCTCCTGCGATCACCAGGCCATTTCTGTGGTCTCGCACCTGCGGCCAAATCCACGCATGTGCGATTTCACTAGACCTGAAACCATCAACCATTCCTCTAAGTCCAAACATGATTCCATCAACCATCCAAAATACACTCGAGGCCCCCGAAACCCTATCCAAACATACAAACATGTTCTAAAATATTATACAGACTTATTCAAAGCCTAAAATTACATCAAACAACATCAAAAATCATGAATCGTACCCCAATTCAAGTCTAATGAAACTAATGAACTTTCAACTTCTAAAGCTGATGCCGAATAATATCAAATCAACTCCGAATAACCTCAAATTTTGCACATTAGTCCCAAATGACACAATGGACCTATTCCAACTCCTAAAACTAAAATCTGAACTCGATATCAACAAAGTCAACTCTCAGTCAAACCTCTCAACATTCCAAACCTTCAACTTTCCAACTTTTGCCAAAAAGCCTCAAACCAACCTACGGACCTCCAAATCAATATTCGAACATACGCCTAAATTCAAAATCACCATGTGAAGCTATTGGAAGCATCAAAATTTTATTCCGGAGTCGTCTACACAAAATTCAACCTCTGGTTAACTCTTTCAACTTAAGCCTTCACCCATGGGACTAAGTGTCCCAATTCACTCCAAAACATCCCCAAAACTAAACCAACCACCATGGCAAGTTACATAACCACAAATTAATATAGAAGGGGAAATAAACAGGGGAACAATGCTACAATACACGAAATGACCGGTCAGGTTGTTACATACTGTAAAATGCACTGATCCAATTGTAGCAAGAGCAACAAAACATTCTGAAAAAGTGGCACGTGTACTCCAATATATGCTGAACACTGGAAATATTGGAGGATCATATTATAAAAGCTGATTTCATATTAGGAATTAAGAGATTTGCTCAAGTCCAGTTGTCCAAACACAGTAGAAATAACACAAAATAGTAGCAATTGCCCCTTCAAAATTAAGAAGTTCAAATATAATACTAATAGAAAATGAAGCCCTAAGGTGGCTTTATATACCTAAGGGTAAGATTATAATTGTGATAAAACTTATTGGGTTTTAAATTGTTAATAGTATTAGGCAAATTGAGACCCGAATCGATAACCAATAGTCAAATAACTCTAAATTGTCACCGAACCATTAACCCAATCAGCCGATATCAATAATCCGATAAGTTTTTTCGATTTAGATTATCGATTTTACCCGATATATGCCCCGCCCTAGCGTGCCCTGCATTGTGTTACTCGTCGTGTCAGTCCAAGTTTGGACATGTGCAATCTTGTTTTGGTTCATTAAGGGTATTTCGGTCCAAAGTTATTTCTATATAGTATAAATACGTGAAGAATATGATTAAGTGATTTTTGACCTAGTGAAGAAAAGAGGACGTCTAGAGCATGGAGACACAAGGATTTTGAGTCTCTATCAATGATTAATTTAATAAAATATTGTGGACTGAGAACTTGGTTGTAACGTTTTCTATTCTTCTCTTTTCTATGATCCATAACATAAACTCATTCATGGAGTAATTTTTTCTATTACACCTTGATGATGTTTATTTTAGATTTCAGTTTTTTGCTTTAAAATCTATTGTGCATGTATGGCAGTAGATCTTCCGGAATAGTTTTATTTTATTCGTGAGAAGAAATAATTTTTGATCATATGCTTGAATTAATTCCTATGATCTATTTATTCGACAAGAAACATTAGTATAGGAATAGTCTTCTTTAATCTATTTATTCAAGATAAGAGTTGATTGTAGCAACATCCATAAAATTTAGGATATTCGAAAGAAGATCCAAATTATCTAAAAATCTATCGCATATAAAATACATATAAATTAGACCCTTAATATTTTTCTAGGATCATTAGACTATAGTTGTTCGAGAGATGAGTTAGTTTAATTGGTTACGGAAATAAATAATTATATTCGAAAGAAGTAATTAATATTTGTGATCAACAATATGTATCAATTCAAGGAACAAAATTTGAGTTAGTCATAAAGTCAAGTTTAATGTCTTCATACTTTAGTAAAACTCTTCAATATTAGTTTACAACTTTAGATCACTTTAAATTCTTATTTTAGAACTTTAAGAAAACATATTTGAAATTTATATTTTCACTTAGCCAAGAAGATATTTGTTGATAGTTATTCAAGTCTCTGTAAGTCAAACATATTTTATACTATGTTTGACAAGCCTGGACTTTAAATGTATACCACGATTTTGCGCTTGTCAACCTAACTATTAACTGAGGGTATAACTACATTATTTTGCATATTTCACAAGCAAATTTGAACCTTTGCCTTTATTCAATGAAATTATTATTACTAATATTATATTGCAACTTTAACTTTGTCTTGGCTGCTGGGATTATGCAAATCCATAGCAAAATGCATCAGTGGCACTGTTACTTAGTAATTTGTTACGATGCTTCTATAACAGCAACAACAATAACAATAACAAAAAATTCAATGTAATTTTATAAGTAGATCTGGGAAGGGTAGTATGTTTGCAGACCTTACCCATCTTGTAAAGATAGAGATGCTTTTTCCGATAGACCCTCGGCTTAAGGAACAATGAAAATAAAGCAACAAATAATAGTAACAAAAATGTAATAAGGTAACGGAAGCGGATGCCACAACATGTAATAATAAAGAACAAGGAATAAGAAAATACAAGAATATTACTAATACCACTCATAAGCCTAGGAGAAATTCACAATAACCTGTCAACCTTCAACCCTAATCCTCGACCTCCACACCTCCCTGTCGTGGGTCATGTCCTCGGTAAGCTGAAGTCATGTCATGTCATGCCTAATCACCTCTCCCGGTACTTCATTGGTCTACCCCTACCCTTTCTCGAACCCGCTATAGTCAACCTCTCACACCTCCTGATTGGGACATCTATGTCTCTCCTTTTCACATGCCCGTACCATCTCAACCTCGATTCCTACAACTTGTACTCCATAGAGGCCGCTCCCACCTTGTCCCTAATAACTTCATTCCTAATCTTGTCTTTTCAGGTATGCCCACACATCCATCTCAATATTCTCATTTCAGCTACTTTCATTTTCTGGACATGAGACTTCTTGATGGGCCAACACTCAGTCCCATACAACATAGTCGGTATAACCACAACTGTGTAGAGACCTTAAGTCTTGGCGGCATATTCTTATCACACAAAACCTCAGAAACGAACCTCATTACCTTGCTCCAATATGATGAGTAACATCCTCGTCAATCTCCCCGTTCACTTATGCTTCATGCATCCCATCATTGAACTTGCACTCCAAATATTCTATTTTCGACCTACTCGACTTGAAACCTTTAGACTCTAGCATCCGTCTTCATACTTCCAACCTAGCATAAACTCTACCTCGCGTCTCGTCAATCAATACTATGTCATCAACAAATAGCATACACTATGTCACCTCCCCTTGTATGTGTCGCGTCAGAACATCCAACTCCAGGACAAACAAACAAGCTAAGAGCCGATCCCCAATGTAAATCTATCTCCGCTAGAAAATATTTTGAGTCTCCTCGTGCAGTCCTCACCCAAGTCTTAGCTCCCTCGTAGTTATCGTTAAACACCCTAATATACGCTACTGTAACATAAAATTCTATAATATGGGTGTTTGAGTTATAATTTCAATTTAAAGTTTTTGGTAAAGCCTTAATTAATTCAATCAATTTAACAAGTTTCACCAAAGCTTTTAAAATTATTTTTTTGGAAACTTTCCCAAAATCAAAATCCAAAAGCTGTTGATACACGAAGATAGCCCTTCTCTCCAGCTCGTTTTCTCATTTTCATCTCTGAAAAAATAATAAGGAACACATTTTGCCTACATATACGAACATAGATACGTACATCTGTTCTCCATTCAGCTCTATCGTTTAATCGATAAACGGGAAATTTGCAAAAGATCCAAATCCATATAAACTCTCTCTTCATCCAGGTATACAGATATAGAACCCTAGCTTCTAAATCAAATTACAGCAAAACAGAAAACGAAAACCCTAGAATGTAATCGCTGTATATAATTGCAGTTTTGTTGATTAAATAGCTGCTGACTGTACTAATGTTGTACAATTTTGGGTTAATTTGCGAAGTTGTTGTATAAGATGGTTTGAATCTAGTTTATGATTTGATAGTGGTTGCAAAATATTGGTTGTGTTTGCGCCTTGGGAGCAGAGGCGGATCCAGGATTTAATAGTTGTACATATTTAGTTGATTTCTTTAACACATAATCAGGACAGAGTTTGAGCCAGAGCTATTGGGTTCAGCTGAACCCTTAGCTTTAATTGTTCATCAGAATGAGCTCGGGGATTGATGATGGAAGCTCCACCAATTGCGCATCAGAAGCTCGAAAGTAATGCTTGATCTTTTTATTCAGTTTTATAACTTGAATTACTGCTTATGTCCTGTGTTGTCTTAGACTTAATTTGTCTTAAAGTGTTATATGAATGCTAGATGTAACGATTCAGGCATTCAAGAATATCATATTCGAGAGAGTTTTTGTTGTCGATAAGTCGACTGGAGATTTGCGAGAAGTTGCCAAGTGAATTTGATCAGTCGATCCTGAGGTATGCATTTCAATTTTCCGTAATTGTATTGCGGTTGCTTGGAATACGAGCAGTAACGTGATGTTTTAGTTTCCTAAATTGTATTGGGATTGCTCGCTTAACATGCTCTAGTGTCTTTTGGATATTGTTGTGCATATTGATAAGTTGCATTTTCTCAATTTAAATAGTGAATTTGTGGACATTTCACATAGCATACAAGACCGCCAAAGAGTACCTGGCAGCTTGCCTTTGCAAGGGTTTAGACGTACTGACTATAGTTCATCCCCACCTACTCGTGGGGATTCCAGTAGTTATTCACGAGGCAATTTTGGAAGATGGGAAAGCCGTTCCTCTGGACGGAGTGATCGAGATAACGAGTCACAATCTGATCGGGATTCAGGTTCAGATCAGATTCTTCTATCTATTGCTTTTATGTGTGTGATAAGCCTTTTTCATTATACTTGATTGCTTTAGAACTGCAGCAGTAGTTGTACTGTAAGTATTATTATTATTATTTTTTTTGAGATTTAGTTTACTGTATGCATTACTATCTGCTGTAAGAGTCCATGATTGTGCAATTGATGCTGTCAAAACCCAATCTAAAGGCTATTCAGTGACTAACAGTATCCCTAACCAAGGCATGCTATAGTTGTTCCTCTTAGTGTAGATTGCTCATTTGGTTGATATAAGCAAGCATTATGCCTGTTAGGCACCAGTAGGAGATCAGCTTATCTGCTTTATTTAAAAAAAGGAAAAAAGAGGGAAATTTATGGGAAATTATAGGATCATGTTCACTTTGGTATTGGACCATAATCTCTCATGCAGCTTATTCATGAGCAACCACCTCCACCCCCTCCCCAAAAAGGAAGTACGGGGGGAAAAAGAGATAGGAAGCTCTCGTCCATACAGTTATCCTCTTTCTTTGATACTGTGTACATTGAAGTCATGGAAAATCTAACTCTGATGATAGCATTATATGCCCCAGTATCTGCATGAAGGAAGAAGGAAGACTGAAGAACTAACAATAGAGAGTTGAGGGAATACATCATGGGGCTTATTTGAATGCATTCAACAACTTTCTACATTCAAATGTGTATTTTATGATAAAGTTGGTTTAGTGTATTTGTTTCCGTACATTTGGAAACACAGAATTGTGTCTGATTAAACAGATGGCAAAAGGTTCAGATGCTTTGGCAGTGAAGTATGGAGGTTGAATTACTGGTGCTGTCCTGGCGCTATTATTATTTATGAGCTGCCAGTTTGCCTTCAGCTTCTTCTAATGTTCAAGGAAGTAACTTCCTTGGAGAAGGTTGATATAACAAATGTGAGAAAAGGAGAATGAACAGGGCTTATATTTGAAGCCTGTGGTTGGAACCTTGAGGTTAGAATGCCATGCCATATGGGCATATAGTTGTCTAAATTTTCCCAAAGGTACTCTTTACTGATTAAGAAACTTCATATGGTTACCAAAAAATTTAAAGCTGATTGAAACATGGTCCTAGATTTGGCAAGGGTTCCTAAAATTTTCATTGCTAATGCGAAGGTGTGACTGTAAGATGTGTTCCTTGTAAATATATCTCCTTTTAAATGTCTTATTTATCGCCTGTATGGTCATGTGTGATTTTGAATTGATTTTCTTTTTACCTTAGATCCGAACTCTTAGAATTTCTTGTCTTTGGTGCTTTCTTCTTGCTAACTATATTGATGCGCTCTGACGGGTGCAAAATGTTGTGGTCTTTGTCAAATTCAACAACCTGCTTCTTAAGTTTTTGAACTAGTCATTTTGTTAATCTGCACCAACTGTAGTTGGATGTTGAATTCTAAATAGACACAGGCTCAAACCCTGGCCATGATAGGTTTCTATAACTATGATGAATGTTTTGGTTCTTAGATAAACAGTCGCTTATCATTAATATATTTCACATTTTAGTTTAATTATCGAAAGATAAACCTTTCACATTTTAACTCACATTCCTGTGTCTAGGGACCATGAATCATATCATCCCCGTTGCAAATTGGGTTAACTTCCTTCTGAGTACACTACGTACTATTATATTCATATTTTATGGATCACATAAATATGTCATTGAGGATAACTGTGTGAGGTTGGATAATTGGAGGGCTCATCCATGAGGATCATCATGCTTTATATATTTTTCTCATTTTACAACTGGGCACCCAGGAATCAGGATAGCTCCGTTGGACGTAATTAGAGGGAATAATGATAGAATTAGGAGTATCATGATATGACTTACTTTTACATTTTTTTCTTCAGTTGTTTTCATGGCTGCTGGCTAAGTGCCTTTCGCATGGTTGTTTCTTTGCATATTATATATCTAGGCCATTTGTGATAATCATAGTTGGAGGGACTGTTTGCCAAGGGTCTTGAATCTCGATCTCCCTTTAAATTCAATCTCCAAAACACGAATTGGAATCCAGGTTCTACTCATTGTTAGGTTCATTATTCATTAGGTGAGAAAAGCCTCGAGTGCCATTTGAAGGTTCTCTTCTGCTCCACTTCTTGTGCTTCACATGATTTGCTGGGTAATTGCAGAAATATTGCCCCTCTTGCATCATAAGCAATAAAGTGTTTTCTGTTGTGTAATATTTTTTTTTTTTATAATTGTGGTGTCCGGGCTAGCTTGCGCTCACCTCAACTAATCCCACGGGATACCTGCTACCTCCCACCAACAATAGGTACAAGGTAATTCTATCCACCAAGGCTTGGATAGATGGGAAGAATCACCTAGTGTTTTTTTTGTCCCCACTAGGAATTTCTACTGTGTAGTACCCTGTTCTTGTGTACCACGTATTGTCCAATTTCTTAGTTGATTTTGTGTGCGTGTGCATGTGACATTGAAGTAGTTTGTTTCTTCAAAGAATTTAGTAAATATTTTTTGCCACAGATTCTGGTTGGAGATCTGGCAATCAAGCCCAGCACACTCGGCAGAGTTCTGAGCATGATGGGCTTCTTGGAAGTGGTTCATTTCCAAGGCCGTCAGCATATGCATCTGGAATATCTGCACCTAAGGTCCGAGCAAGCAATAACTATCAATCTAACAAGAGCAACGAGCCATATCATCCTCCTCGCCCTTATAAGGTGAATTTGAGTTGATCACTGCGTTCCAACGTTCTGGCGTGCTTCATGATTTTGTCCTCTTATTTCAGCGAAACTTTATATAAATTTGACTCTTGCAATATCTTCAGGCGGGACCTCACTCTCGAAGAGACACTGATGCGTTCAATGACGAGACTTTTGGTTCAGTTGAGTGTACGAGTGAGGATAGAGTGGAAGAGGAAAGAAGGAGAAGAGGTATTACTTATTAAGATCATGCATTTCTGTTATGGTGCTATATCCCATGTTAGCATCTTCAATTCTTATGAGCTTATGGGGGATAATATTGATTGAATTCCTTTCAGCTTCCTTTGAGTTAATTAGGAAAGAACAGCAGAAAGCTCTTCAAGAAAAGCAGAAGTCAAAACTGGAGAAGCATAAAACCGAGGACATCTCGGTACTGCTGGAAGAGACTAAGGAGGATAGAACGTTTTTGGACAAAAATAGTGAAGCAGATGGGATGACCACACAACCTTTCGCAACCAGTGATCTGGGAAAATCTTCTTTTCCTTCACAGAATCCACCAGCTAGACCGCGTGTACCCCCTGGCTTTAAAACCACTGTTTTGGATAAGAACTCTGGCTCAAGTTTGAGCCATTCACGCGTGGCAGAGGTATTCACTTGTACTTAGTTTTCTCCAATACAACATACTTATGCTTGATCCTTTTCTCATATAAAAAGAAAAGAAAAGAAAATGAGGCTTCAAGGAAATGAGCAAAAGGGACAACAATGAGAGTTCATTTTTCATTTTATCTTGTGCTTGCTTCGTCACTTTTTAGTTCTCTGTCTATTACTATTACTCCCTCCATCCTAGTTTATATGACTATGTTTGACTGGACATGGAGTTTAAGAAGCAGATGAAGACTTTTGACATATAAGCCAAATATATGCGAAGTGCCAAAATTATCTTATCACCACCAATTAAATGAGATGGTAAGAATTCCACATGTTCCTTCATCTGTCACTCTCCTAATAAAAAATCTTTAGATCAAGTGGATCTCAACAAGTCGTATCAGTAAGGTAAAATGATGATGTTAGGATTAAATAGTTTCCAATAACAACAAAGTGTCAATGTTACTTAAAATGGAAATCAGGAAGGATATACTAAAGTTTAATGCTTCCTCCTTCAACATCCTCCCAAGGATCTCTTTTTGCTTCTATTTTGAATTTCTTAACAATGAGGAAGTCCTGTAATTATTTGCTGCACGAGCTATGAAATACTTAATTACTATAACTAAACCGGCTCAAAATTTTGCAGTGCTAAACGTGAGTGAAGTGGTTTGCTCTTCTCTGTTACTTCCTTTCTACTTTTAGGGTGTGTTTGGTATGAAGGAAAATGTTATCCTAGAAAATGTTTCATGGAAAATGAGTGGTTTTATCACTTATTTTTCCTTGTTTGGTTGGTGAGTGGAAAACCTTTTCCGGAAAATATTTTCTAGTGTTTGGTTAGAGTGTAGAAAATATTTTTTTAGAAAAATAATATTTTATGCTACTCTCTTCACCCCCCATTCNTGGTTAGAGAGCAGAAAAAAAAATTTATACTATCCTCACTAAGGGTGTCAATGGATATGTTAAATATGGCAAGAATTGATACTATGTAAATATGAAAAGATACACAAATTCCTATAATCACACAAATCCCTATAATTAAGTAATTAGGAGATTTTGTAGGCTTGTAATTGTAGTCTTTCCTTATTTATATTTCTGTCAAAGGTTATTTAAACCCAACAGCTTGAGGGAATAATAAAAGCACTCTATTCACCNTTCATACCAAACACACCCTTAATCTTGACTCAAATTAGGGGAGATGTAAGTATACCATAATTCTTGGTCATTTTATCTGTTTTTAAAAATTTTGGCACGTCAATGGATCTCTCAGCAAAGCAGTTGAGCTTAAACGGAGCGAAATGGTTACTAAGGATTTGATATAGCCGATCCCAACTAGTTTTGGGTTGAGGCATAGTAGTAGTAGTTGTTTATAGATCTCTAAGAGCTGCAATCTCTTCCTGTCAGGCTGTATCGGTAGCCAGGTGAAAGGAATACAGTTAAGCATCCTAAGTTTCCTTAGGTATACTGGTTATCAAAAAAAAAGAAAAAAGTTTCCTTGGGGATACTTTGAATTTTCATAATTCCAGTGTTTCCTCCTTGGGAGAGGAGGTGGTATGTAATCAAACACTTCAAAAGAAAAGCTTATGTGAAGAGTGATACATTGACTGGCTGAATTCACTTCTCTAGTTTATTTTAAAAGATAACCTAAGGAAACTGAAAAGTAGGAGAAACGAACAGTAATTGCAACAACTCTAGTCTGTTGGTTGCTTGATGTACGGTTTTCACTTGCACTTACGTAACTGGACTCAACTATGCAAAAGCTACTAATGCTGAAAACAAGCAACAACAACATACCCAGTATTATCCCACACTGTAGGGTCTTGTTTTCAGTATAATGCTGAAAACAAGAAACCCCTAAAATTTTTTGATGTCATCACATCAAATTTTCCATCCGGCCTTCTTTGAGAGCAGCTGGATAACAACTTTGTCATATGTGTTCTTGTTCGTTAATTGTTTTTAGATGCAGGGTAGTGCATGGAAAATAGATGGAAAAAGAAAATGGGTGTTGGAGAAAACGTTCTCTAGCTTTTGGTATTCTCAGCTCTCAAGTATCTTTTTAACAGCTTGATCCTGGAGAAGAGGAGCAAGGGGGTGGTTGGCAATGTAGACATTCCGGTACTCTTGTTGTGCTAAGATCTATTGGAACTGAATGCCGTGGATTCTATTAAAGGCTGTGCCAGAATTTCGACCACATCCTCAAATGGAATATTGCATCACTTATTATTTAAAATCAAATGTTTGATATATTCTGCTTTAACTCCCTCTCATCGTGTGCACCATCTGAAAAGTAATCTGTTGCCCTGCATTTGCCCCATTCTTTATGAAGTAATCCAGATTTTGTGTCCCTGCTCAATGATATTTTAGGTTGATGAGTATTTGAGAATCTTAATAAAGTTGAGCAATTCGTGAAGAGACAGCAATAGCTGTATGGTTTTTATTTAAATTACGCAGTTGCTTGTTGATCGAATTTTAAGTTTGAGTTAACATGTGCCGACATCTTAGTCCATCCTTGTGTATCTGCTAGTGTTATCTATTGATTGCCTGGTCTGTATGTCTTCTGTTTAGGTTGGACAACCTGACACTGAAGAAAGCCCATTGGAAGCCAAAGCCTATGCTGCCCCGAACGGTGTTCTTCAGAGTGTAGAGAGACAGAGCTTGCAAGAAATTAGTTCAAGTTATAAACTTGAAACTAGGAGTTTGCATGCATCAACTCTGAAGAAGAATGACCAAATTGCTAATCTTTCAGCAAGATCAGATATTTCTGATGGGATACTTGGCATGGAAGATCGTTTAAATCGGATTACCAGTCATTTAGAGTTCCACGAAGCCTTGGAAGAGCCTGAAATTATTGAAAACAGTACTCAGCCTTCTGGTAGCAAATTTGATGAGTCTAGCCCCAACCCTTCAACATCAATCTTGGATAAGATATTTGGAGGTGTTGTAGCAATTAATGTTGGCGACTCTGAGGCTCCAATTGTGGTAATAGTTTTACACACTTTATCAGCTTCAGTGCTGTCTAAGTTTTAGTTTCATTACTCTTAAACAATCCTATCAACCCCACCACCCTGCCCTTTTGCAGTCCTCCCCTTCAAATTGCTATACACTTATTAGGTGGTTAAAAGCTCTTAGGTTGAGGTCATCCTTCGTTTAGGGTAAAACTTATGTGCTTTATGGACTATTGTTGTCATCCTGATTCCTGAGGGGTGATTGAATTTCATTCAGTCCACAGCTAAGATTGCAACAGTATCGTTAAAACAGTGAGAGGAAGCATGGTTTCTTTCATCATCATGCCTGTTTTTTGCAGAAATTCTTGTCATCTGTTGTTGAGTTTCTTTTTCTTTCCACTGTTGGAATTTTCATCAATATTCTTGACTTCATTTAGCAGTAAATATACATAGTGCACTTGTGGTTTCCCTACTAGTTGTTTATTTTCTTCGTTTGACTTTATCCCCAGAATGACAATATTAAACCGAATGACATGTTGGGCTCCAAGGCTATAGAATCTTCGAAGTTCTCTCAGTGGTTTATGGAAGAAGGTATCTTTCCTTTTATGGTTTTTTGTTTTTTGCTTTTTAGTTACTTTTTCTATCGAAGTTCTACAAATTCTTTTTTAACCTGTCTTATACCATTTAATATCGTTGTAGATAGGAAGCCACCAGAAGATTCCTCGTTAAGTAGGCCAAACGATTTGCTTGCCTTAATTGTTGGCGGCGATAAAACCAGATCACAAGCTTTTGATGGAAATGTTTCAGAATGCTTTCCATCTGAAAATTTCATTCAGAGTACTGAGCCTACAAGTAAGGTCACATTGCATATGCCTTCTGCACCACCTGGGATATCTGAGCCTATGTATGAGTCTAGTAAAAGGGAGGCAGCCCCGTCGATCTTTACTTGTGAGGACCTTGAGCATAAAATGCTGTCAGAGTTTGGTGAAAAGAGTTCTAATCTGCATTTTACTTCACAAGGTTGCGGTACTAATCGCTTAGACACTGAAGAACAACCCGTAATTGTGGACAGCCATGCATCTCAACACCTCCTTTCATTATTACAGAAGGGGCCAGATCATACAAATATGACAGAGAAGGGCAGTACTGGCACTGAAGCCAGGAATGGACATGTTAAGTTTACCGTGCATGACCGATCTAAGGAGGAAGATACCAGGGATCCTCAAGCTTCAGGAAAAGCAGTTACACTTGAAACGCTTTTTGGAACTGCTTTTATGAAGGAGCTGCAATCTGTACAAGCTCCAGTTTCAGTTCAGAGGAGCTCAGTTGGTTCTGCACTAATTGATGGTTTGGAGACACGCAAGTCATCCTTGTCTGGTTTTGATGACGGCCTTTTTTCTTCCATAAGTGATGGTATTGGACCAAAAGGAGGCGGTAAGGAGAACAGGCTCTTGCAGTTGAATCACAGAGGTCAAACCAAGCTGGATGAGCCTCAAACCTGGTTGGGATATGAAAATTCTCAGTATGAAGTTAAATCAAGGCACCCGAGTGAAATGTTTTCCAAGAGTGAGGCTGTTGAATATCACCTGCCTGCAGAAGACTTAATTAGTGCTCGTGATCATTTGAGTCCCCAGGTCTCAATGGTTATGCCTGCAGGAATTTTGAGTAAAGGAGACTTGACAACTGGTAGTGGCGCTGGCGGTGATGGAAGGTCTTTGATGAGTGAAGGTCTGCCCTTCCCACGTGTTTCCTATGATCAGATGGAGTCTGAAATGCCATTGCACCATATTCGTGCTCAACCATCTACTTCGCAATTTCATCCCTTGCAGATGAGTCAAGGGAAGCCATTGTTTCATCCTATGGATTCTGGTCCTGCTCATTTAAATCCTCAGATTTTCAATGGTCCAGAAAGCATGGCTCTACATGATGCTCCTGGTCGTCAGTTTGCTGGAAATATGATGCGACCTCCATTTCACCACCCTAATGGTGGACTGACAGGGTTTGATCTCCCCGTTCACCATCCTATGCTGCAGCAGATGCGGATGGCTGGAAATAGCCCTCCTCGTCTGCTACACGACCGTCTAAGGGGTGCACAGGTTCCTTCACATCTCAGTAATCAAGCAGCTAGCATCATGCAGGAAGTTAACAGAATTCAAGCATTCCCTTTTGCGCCACACCAAGTCAACATTAGTGGCCAAGCTGTGCAAATGCCAGGTAAAAAGCCCGAATGTGTTGTCTCTGTAGGTGTCTGTGCGATGATATTTTACTGATTACACCTCAAAATATTGCTCCCTATTTGATCTTGCTGAATTTAATGCATAAATTTCATCTCTACTAAGTCTTCTACTTTTTCCTTAGTTTTGCCGATGTAAGATAGCACTTGCATCTTTCTTTCTGGACTACACCTCAAAATGAAGTTGCCCTTTGCTGATCTTGCTGATTTAAAACATAGATTTCATCTCTACTACTGTCTCTATTTGTTCCTTAGTTTTGCCGTCCTGATAATGTAAGAAAGACATCTTTATTTATACTCTTTCCTGACCCTCATTGATGCAGCAATTCTGCAGTTCTAAATTTGACTGTATTGTTACTGTGACCATGCACGTAATAATGAAACTACATTTTATAATTACAATGGGATGCTGGGATTCATCTTTCTATGACTACGTCCTGTGAAGTTTTGAGTGATATCAAGTCGAAATGAGGATTAAGCATGAGCAGATGTTGTATATTCTGTTATCAGCTTTAGTTTTTCCTCATAATTGTGTAGGTTAGTAAATTTATTTACCTGAAAGCAAGAAGGCGAACTTTATATTCCCCTTTTTGCTTGTGAATTTGGCCTTTGAGGCTTGAGCTAGTGAAGTATGCTCTTCCCCACCCCCAGTACCCTTTTGATGCTACGTCTTGAGATTTTTCTGCTGTTGATTGTTAATAACCCTGAGAAACTAGTAAAAATTAGTAATGACGTGCTTATCATTTATTCTACATAGGCCTTTGTGCTCTTCTTCCTTTTATTCGTGTATACACTGAAACTCTTCTGGTTGAGAATGCATCCTCTGCTGATGTTTAACTAGCTGGGTGAGTTTATGCATTAAAATTATTATTTGTTTCACTCCAGCTCCAGATATCAACACCAGAAACATTCATCCAGAGGCCTTGCAAAGGCTTGTTGAGAGGCAACTTGGGGCTTCTAAGCAGATACACCCTTTTGCTGCTGGCAATGTCCAGGGGATGCACGGCCACGAGCTTGACATGGGATTGCGATATAGATAGTTGATCATGGAAACTCATCTTCATTGCAGCGTTCTGCAGGGTACAATGTGGTGTTTTTTTTTTGTTTGGTGATAACCGAGAATCCACTGTTTACAGCTTCGAAACTCGTTGGATAGGTCGGTTCCCCTACCCCTTCTCCACTTAAATTCGATAATTTTTTTCCCAACAAGAATCGGACCTGTGAGGTGCGCCTGCCACATCCCGTGTTGTACTACCTATACCGTTGCACCAACACCCTTGGGCGCAACTGGGTACCATGTTCGCCTTTCACTTTTTTATTTTTATTTGAGGGCTTGGTATAAACTCCTGGGAAGTGTAATTTTAGATTTTATTTTCGTGTACCAACTCCGAGGGTCTCCTGGAAACAGCCTCTTTGCCCCTCGGGGTAGGGGTAAGGTCTGCGTACATATTACCCTCACCAGACCCCACTTGTGGGATTACATTGGGATGTTGTTGTTGTTGTTGTTGTACTTGGTATGTTTCTCATCTTGGCAACAGGTTAATAGTGGACGAAAAAGGGGCTCTATATCAACATTTCTGATTCTTGTGCATGCATGGTTGTGCGAATTCTCACCAGTTAAGTGTCTGGTCATTCATATGTTCCTTCTGATAACGGGGGACCTGTTCGCCTTGCAGATACTGTGTATAACGCGAATTGGACTATCCTTATTTCTGATATCGTACCAACTGTTACTCCAAAATAAATATGCATGCTACATGCAAGGGCCTGCAAGAGATTTATCTTTAACTGGATGTCATTTCATTTGACCAAAGTAATATTCTTCTAAGGGACCCTGCTCAAAACAAATTCTTGTTGAACTTCAGTATTCTCTCATTTCAAGCTTAGCTTTTGATTCGGGTATAAAAAATTGGAAGTGCTTCCACTAAGGTTATTGTTTTCGACTCAGAGAATGAAGAGAAACCCTACACGCGCTGATGTTCGCTGATTTTGAACACCATATATTGGTAAAGTCTCACCTGAGGTGGTTGTGCTGGACTTGGATGATGAAGAAGACGTCTCTCCAGGTCCACCTCTAGGTTACACTGCCAGTTTTTAATTTGATTTACTTACAAATATCGACCCCAAATAATCCAGATTTACGAATTACGTCCTAATTAACCAAAATTGATGTTAGTTATTAATGTTTTCTGTCTCATAGACAAGGAGTGCCAAGATAATGATAAGCTAAGGTTAACCAGCTCCCTCCTAATAATGAAGCCCCACAATCCATCAGATTGGCTATTGCCCAACCATGTTTTTATGCTGCGTTTAAATTCTATTGTTTTTTCTTATGAGTTTAGATTTAATTTATATTGAGATTGTGTGATTTTTATTTATTTTTATAATGGTGATCTTTAGGCATTTTATCTCATTACGTGCACATCAACTATTGTGTTGAACACCTACTTCCTACCAATAGATGTATCTAATAACCCACTAAAACTAATTCATGCAAGATAATCAAGCAATCCTTTTTTTTTCCACTTCTAACTGAGATTCGAATTCTAGTCTCCCATAAGATCATCTTTCAGAACAATTGTTATGTGTTTCGTTTGTTTTATCTAGTATTAAAGGAATAATTAAGGAAACTTTTGTGGACGAGAAACATAACATAACGATTTTTAGTTTAAAGAGTTTATAAAAAAGAAATTAAAGACAGTTCTATGTTTTAGAGAGTTGTGCTAAGATTGGTACCCCGAGTAGAGCCCATCGAGTTACTTTTCTAGATTAAGGAGCTTTGCATTTCCAAGAAAAGTACCACATTTTGGAGGGATCAAGATAAGTTAAGAGTAATGAATAACATAGAAGGCAAAAAAAAAAAAAAAAAAAAAAAAAAAAAAAAAAAAGTCTTTGGGAGAAAGAATTATTCGAGGAGAGAAGATTTCGTTCATCGAGCAGATAGAGTCCACTCAATTCCATAGGCGAATATAGAATTTAAATTTTATGGGTTTAAACTAATTATATTTTTAAAGTTATGAGTTCATATCTACTACAGTATATGTTATAATTTTAATAATTTTTTATATATAAATTTTTACTCCATATTAAAAGTATTGGGTTCAGTTGAATCCGATACCAAAAGGCTGGATCTGCCCCTAGTCAATACCATCACATACCATGCAAGTGGGACGTCGGGCAGTCCATGCCATCATGCAATAATTAATGAGGAATTTTCAGAAACTACTATTGTTTAGATGTTATTAAGTTCCTATAGCTACCATATACATAATTACTTCCTATAGCTACTATTCAATTGTTACGGTAGTGTATTCGCTGTATTCGCGCTGCTGTATTCATGAATACAACAGCAAAAAGCGCCTAAAAATCAGGGTAGTCCAGCTGTACGTGCATGTATTCACATGTATTTGCGTCATGTATTCATGAATACAACAGCAAAAAGCGTCTAAAAATCAGGGTAGTCCAGCTGTACGTGCATGTATTCACATGTATTTGCGTCATGTATTCATGAATACAACAGCAAAAAGCGTCTAAAAATCAGGGTAGTCCAGCTGTACGTGCATGTATTCACATGTATTTGCGTCATGTATTCATGAATACAACAGCAAAAAAGGCCTAAAATCAGGGTAGTCCAGCTGTACGCGCATGTATTCACATGTATTCACTGCCGTATTCATGAATACAACAGTAAAAAGCGCATAAAATCAGGGCAATCTAGTTGTACGCGTATGTATTCACATGTATTTGCGCCATATATTCATGAATACAACAGCAAAAAGCGCCTAAAATCAGGGCAGTCCAGCTGTACTTGTATGTATTCACATGTATTCACGCTGTTGTATTCATGAATACATCAATAAAAAGCGTTCCAGCTGTATGCGCATGTATTCACATGTATTCGCGCCATGTATTCATGAATACAATAACGACAATCGCCTTAAAAATAGGTATGTCCAGCTGTCTAAGAGAGGAAAAACATAAATAGCGTATTTCATGCCTCAATGGTAGTATATACCATAAATACTTATTTCGTTATAAAATATAAAAGGTAGCTATAGAAAATAATATTTTAAAATAATTTTAATTTATAATAAATAGGATGTATACCTTTGCTATAAGAGGTAAAATTTCCATAATTAATACATATTTAAATGTAAGCACCAAAAAGCCCAAAGGCGTCAACATGTCATAGATAAGTCATGAGTAGGGATGCCAATTTGAGCCCAAACCCATTCAACCCGTCCAGAGATTAATGGGTTGAGCTACAAATATTTTAGCTCATGGTTCTATTTAGGTTGAGCCCAAGTTAATCAATTATTTTTTATAGCTCATTCTGATTCATTAAGCAGCTCAAATACAACCCATGAAACTCACTCAAAACAAAGGAATCTCAACCAACTTATCTAGAAATTTACTCTTTTTTTTTTTTTGCAATCCACTAGGCAAGTGCCTAGGGCTAATTTATATATAAATCAAAAGTCAAAGTCAAATACAATGTCAGGAGGTCTTAGACGATGAAAGAAATAAACATTGTTGATTACATAGTTCCTATTACCAATATTGAGCAACTGAACTCAACATTGATATTACATTATGTAATCTAATAAGAAAAAACAAAGGAGTTATACAAAATAGCCATGATATGTTTTCCCACATAAATGCTTTAGAAAGTGGCGCTTTGCCGCATCTTTGTTCTCCTTCCCGATGGTGTATGAGTTGTGAGTATAAAGTATCCCGTGTTTGCACAAATAGCCTCTTTGCATGTTGATTGCTACTGTCAAGCCTATAGTACCTTGAGACTGTATTTCCTGAGCTTGTATTGTCATTTGCATTGCCCAGTTGTCTAAAATTTCCTCCCAGTTGTGCATGCTTTCATTAAGAATTCCTGTATTGAATATTTGTACTGTCAAGTACTGTGCGATGCCTATACTTCTACTGTCCTTTATGCATATTTCCTTTCCTGCTCCTGCTGTATTTTGTGGATGCAATACTTCCTGAGGTAACATAGCATCATATTGCATTGCATCTTCAGCCCAGATTGCAGTTCTCGTGTCCAGAATTGTACGGCAACAAAGGTGCTGCCCATGAGTCCAGGCCTGCATATTGCTGCTGCTTTTTCCTTCTATTTCCTGTAGCCTCCATCTGATTATTGTTTTAGCCTTTGTGCAGTGCTGGTCTCGGGATAATGGGTTAATGACCTGCATTGAGATTTTGGTCCACAATGCATCCATTATTCCCAGTTTTGATCGCAATACAACCACACTACATATGAACATATGCTGTTTGGCCTTATCTTCGTGTGATCTCCAAATATAATAGGTGATACCCATTGGTTGGGACCATTCTTTAATTGTAGAGCTAACAGATTTGCTCCTCAATGTATCCAAAGGTCCCAACTGTGATGCCCAACTGCCCAGGTCGAGTATCACTTCGACCATACTTCTGGGCAGCCTCTTCCTTGATTCCATGCTTGTGCCTCCTATTGTCACTCCTTCAAGGGATTGAGCATCATGTGCTAATACCACCCTTTGAATTTGTGGCAAATAGGAGTGCATGAATACAGTAACATTTCCTTTCATCTTGCGTTCCTTGTATGTCCTACTTACTGTACATGACGAGCTGCTATTGTTGGTACATCGCAGTTCTTCCATATTTCCAGCTGACCGGTGCTGCCTCGTCCAAGAAAAACTGGACTGTCTCTTGTTACTTTGGGGAGCGTAACCCAATTGCGGTTTTTTGGACTCAAAATACATAAATAGGTGATTAAAAAAAAGGTGACATTTTTATATATAGTGCCACAATACTTGGCGCTATACATTAACGTTAACTGTGCCGTTAATGTATAGCACCAAGTATTGTGGCATTATACTGAAAAAGCTGACACGCCTAGGTATAGCGCCAAGTATTGTGGCACTATACTGAAAAAGCTGACACGCCCAGGTATAGCGCCAAAATACCTAGCGCTATACAACCGTCTTCTTCATCGTCGTTCTGTTCTCTTCCTCAATATTTTACTCCTCTTTCTTCTTGGCCCCCCCATACCCGCTGCCCACGATTTAAAAAAAAAAAAAATTCTGGGTCCCTCCGTCACATAAAAGTTGTAGAACGTAGGTCCCACATTCGAGTAGAGCTTCGTATTATTGGGGTGGTGCTGTCATCTCATATCTGTACATGTAGATGTGCCGGGCTTGCATCGGCACACAGAGAGACGTTGGTGGCTTTCTATCGCTTCTACAGGTGACAACATATTCAAATAATATGTCCATTAGTTACAATTCTACCTAGTTATAGTTAATCTTATACTTTACGTCAACTTTGTATGTTAGGTTTGGGTCTGGGAGCGATTTCTGCAGTTTCGGCCACCTCTACCACATCTATCGGCTAATGTAGAAATTCCGCAACTCCCTCTAGCCTGTAGGTGGGTTATACGTCGTACTCTTGCACAAGAGTATGATGCCCATCATAATCTCCCCCTCTGTAAGGATGTGTTGGATCTGCTGGAGGACGCACAAGTGAATATCTAACTAAACTTACCTGTTATAGACTAACTTAGTGTTGCGCATACTAACGGTTTGTGTTCTTATTTGATAGT